TGTTCCGTCAATTTTGAGTTTCTTGCAGGCATCTTACACATCCCTAGCACCTTTCTGTCAAATGCTCTTTGAAGTTTGAAATAAAACAGAGTCATAAAATTGACGTGCAGAACCACTTTCTCTGGATATGGGCGAGGAGAGAAAATAAAGGCAGAAAAAAGGCGTTCACTCGAACAACGCCAGAAAAGATTAAGAGAGTCTTTAGTGAAATGAAAGAAACACTTTGCAAAAATGCCGGCGATGTCGAGGAGCAAACCCGCATTCTACGCCTATGAAGCGAGACCACTACCACGAGACCACATAGGCAGTTGATATTGAAGCGACGAGTTCGCTTATTCAATAGGTACTATGTACTATCGAGCAAATTTCGAGCCCCCATAACTTTTTGAGGAAAACCCTTTGCAGTTTTAATTTCTATTTTCATAAACAGCAGTCAAAACCCTATCGGTTCATATGGGTCTCCATTCAAAGTCCCGCGGTAAGTAGACTACTCCTCCTTGGTGAGACCGAAGGCCTTTTGATTTGGGTTTCTTCGTGCTAGACGGATTTTTGTCAGTCTTCATTTCTCTTCACTTTTTTACGGTTGTAGCGCAATTGTCGCAGGCGCTATTCGCCCTTGCACGATCCGAGGTTGGATCCTGTAGAACTCTTTCTGTCATTCTAGTTCGTCAATCAGTTTACAGAGTTTGTGTTCGCAAAGTCAAAATAGCATACCTTGTATCGTCCAGCTCTTTGCGACCATCACCTGGCATAGTTCTCAACCAATTCCTCTGACTTTTTCAATGCGAATGTCTGACCTGTTCCGAATAGTTTAACGGGGCTAGGCGTGCAGATTCAATTTATGATTGAATACAGCTTTTTTCTGGTAGAACTACCCATGCATAGACCATATGCGCTCTAGAGTAGAAGACGCTGTAAATGGCAAGGTACATGTTTGGAATGGGTCGTTCCACAACTGTGAACCAGTCCCTCTAAACGGTGTCTTTCAGTATGTCTTTATGCAATTTCGGATGTCGTTCATAACAGAAATGATGGGAAGTCAAGATAGCTTATATGAACCGGCTTTTGTTCAAAGCATAATGGTTCGCTGACGGGGTGGTAATATCTATCGGACGAAGCGTCATAGGCCAGTCGCCAGCAGTGGCTGCGCTTACGACCCGGTTTATGCCTCTGTAACCCGTCTTGGCACACGGGTTCTCATTATGGTTGCGTGATGCCAATACGGTCACCGTCGTACGTCATCTGATATGGCATTGCTCTGTGCTGCTGCTTCCTGCTAACTCCGATTCCCTCTCCAAAATTCTCTCTTGGTCCATCTGAGCCGCTCTGTTTGGTAAAGCTGCTACTTAGTCTCTGAAGCACCGGAAGGCTTTCGACAAGGGCAATGAGCAGTGGAGATGATGCCGACAGCCGCCGGTCAAACGATGGGCATCCAGTTTTGTACGGTCCGGTAAGAAACGCCTACTTCCATGTTTTTTTTTTTCTGAAATAGTTTTGAGAGATCATCGCTCTTCTATTCTTTTTAAGCTGGCTCTATGTCCATTAGCGGCTTTCTTTTCTCTCTCCTGATATCAAATAGAGGTCCTTTGATTTGTCCGAAATTTTCTCTCCATCATCTCTTTGTTTGCTGACAGATGGTGCAATCTGCGCTAACCGCTAAAATCTATGGACCGGTTCAAAATCGAATGCGCAATTGCGCAATGTTTATTTGTTTATTTTTGTTTCCCAATTTTTTGTTTAATATTTTTTTATTTTGATTTCAACATGGCCTGGGCAGTTTTCAATCTCGAAAAATCGATTTCAATGATTCAAAAAATTCTCAAAATAGCTTCCACAACTTATCTACCTCGAGGTTGAGCTGCCGATAACTGGCTCCTTCATTGCACGCTAACAATTGCCTGTGAATCAGTCAACCTGGATGCAATTTTTGGGCTTCGCAAGTGATGTCCTTTAGGACTAAAACGAAATGCACTAGGTAACTTAATAAGACAAAGTAATTGTAAAAAAATTGACGAGAAAAAAGTTGACGTTTGGTAATTTTCTCGATATGCGCCATGCATTCGTTTTTCTCTCTGTATTGTGATATCGAAGTTGTAAAAGATGGAATCAGTATAGCCACAAAGTCATTATTTTATGAGTTCGACTTCAAAGCAAAGTGGTTGTTGCAAATGGTCTCCTACTTCGCATTGGACTCGATTCATTTTTCCTATCTATGCAAGTTATGCATTAGCTCTTCAGCTTACATCTCTGCCTTGATTTTTTCTCCCGTATAGCCAAGAGGCAACTCTTTTTTAAAAATATCCTAATTTTTTTGCTCATATGAAATGAGACCTCTTCATCGGACACATATAAGTGATTGTTCCACATTTTCGACTAGTAAGCTCACCTATTCAACTGATTTTGAAATTTTTCTCATTATTGCGCTGCTCCAGTTATCTAATTTTCGAACAATCATGCATAGTTATCTCGCTAAAAAATGCTGTGTAATCAGTCCACTGAGTGGATGCCTCTGCTAGCCAGCCGTCTACGTTTTACAGTGACAAGATTCAGAAGAAACCGTCTTTCCTAGACGGAAAAATTAAGTGTCTTCAAACCTATCTTCAGTAATTTAGAAAAAGAAAATGTTGTAGTTGGAATGAATTTATCTCCGAACAAACTGATTTTTATTTTTCTGAACGTAACCATTATAACAGTGTTTCCAGACCAGAACTGGCAATTGCTGATGCTTCGGTTAATTTTCTTTTTACAAATTGCGAGTGCTAATTTAATTAACTGAAGGGCAAAGCGTTTATACTTGGTCGATCTCATTGAGGGATATGACAAATATGTCTTTTCCATTCGAATCGTGGTGTTGTTTAGGAATAGTGTCTAGAATGGTGCACTTCAGATGCTAGCAGGTATTCAAGATGGTGTTTCTACCTAACGAATCACTTACAAATTAGCCAATTAAAACGAAATGAATGGCGCTGTCCGATCAGTGGACGTTGTCGTTTACAAATCATTCTTTTCGTAGTGTCCTCCATGTTTCATCTATTACTTGCACCACGACATGTGCCATGTATTATTCGAATTTAACCCATTGACAACCAGGTGGCCAACCATATCGTACTCCTGTAGTATTTATACTATTTATCAAGTGCTCTTATAATTTCTTCATGTTTTCAAATATCAGTTGAGCACACAGCCTTCTAGAGAACCTTGAGACATTGTGGTCCAAGAATCATTCCTTTCCAACTACAGTTATAACAGAAATTAAAAGTTAATGTAAGGACAGTACAAAAAGCGCGGTCGCCAGTGAGTTAATATATAAATTCGAAGCATTAAGCATGCTTATTTGATTACGAGCCAAAAAAAAGTATAACTGAAAAAAAGCGGGATGGAATAAGAGCGGTTTGCTTTTTTCTCGTCTTGCGCAAGTCTGCGATATGTTCAATGTATTTTTTTGTTTTTTTCTGTTTGTTTTGTTGTTTTTTTCTGATTTTATCATGTTGCTATTGCATCGGTGTGTTTTCCATTCGTCTTTTTTCGTACTCTCGAATGCTACTGATGTGCCTATTATCGAATCAGAGCTTTATTATTTTTTTCTATTTTTTCGAGTTGTTCTTATGCCCTGGATGCTCCGAGCTTTGATCAGAGCACAATATTTCCCTTGGAAATTTGTTTTCGTGTTTTTGTCCACTCATTTGCAATTCTTTCTCATGAGATTCAGAATGAGTGGCGATGCCAATTCAAGGAAACGCAAGTACTGTTGGAACAATGCGTACGTATTACTTCTTTGTTCTCTGAATTCTTTGAAATTGAATTTGTACATTTGCATTTTGCTTACCCTAAAATTCTATAGATAAGAGCGGTACACACAACCGGTGAAAAATGAATTGGAATGAAATTGAAATTGAATGCAGTCACCCTCTAACTTGATGGAT